GGCTGATGAGATATGATTGTTGTTGTTGTTGTTTGCTTTCAAGTCATTGCAGACTTAGGTTGACCCTGAGCGAGGGCCGGGTAAGTGACTTCAGAGGGCTGTATTCGGGCCCCGGGCCATAGTTTGAGGACCCCTGATCTAGAGAGTCCTAAAGATAACATTTTAAATCAAATCTATGAATAATTAAATTCACAAAAATCACAACCACAAATCTAAACACACACATACAAGAAATAACATCCAGAAACTATTGTGCTGTGTTGATGCCAAGACTTTCAGGACTATAGTTCATCACTGCCTATCAATGTCTATCAATATAAATGCAAAAAGTTCAAGCATTAATTACACTATGTAACAAAATTTGAAAAATGTTCTGTTCATGATTTCAAAGTGTTATTTCCTGTTTAATTGTGCAGTACTGACTCAAAAGTAGTTGTTCTAGTTTTGTGGCTACCACAAACTGTGTTGAATTGGTTGAGACTCTGTGAGATATTCATTGAAAAACAATAGCAAATTGTGCTGCAGGATGTCTGCAAAATCAAAGTTTTTGCAGTTTAATAAACTTTTTCCATGTTTTTTTATGATAGAACCAATTTGAAAATGACATTTGTAACCAGGAACAAAAATTGTGTTACATAGTGTTACTCTTTTAAGACACATTAGTTGGGTGACAAGGAGGACATCTGAGGATAGCTAAACAGTTTAATATATGTGCAGTGATTAGAAATAACATAATAATTACTGCACATGAACCCTACCAACCCACCCAAGCATTAAAAAAATGATCAGGAAATTGGGTTGCTTTGAGTTTCCAAGCTGTATGGCCATGTTCCAGAAGCATTCTCTCCTGATGTTTCACCCAGATTTATAGCAGGCACCTTCACAACCTTTGAGGATGCTTGCCATAGATGTGGGTGAAACATCAGGAGAGAATGTTTCTGGAACATGGGCATACAGCCTGGAAAACTCACAGCAACCCAGAGATTCCAGCCATGAAATCCTTCAACGATGCAATAAGTAAATTGCTGTTCCATACAGCCGATGGAGTTGCCTGCAGCGTACAAACATTTGTGCCAAATAACATACGTTAATCTTTGAAATATTCTTAGATTATTTGTTATTCTTCATATTGGTAGAAGGAGAAAAATGCAGTATCAGTTCAGAAATTACAGCTTCTCCTTGAGTAAACAATATAATAGGAAGTGATCTTCATATTTAGCATATCAGGAACGATCCTTCAAAGTCAGTTCAGCTCGCTGCTCTAACAGAATTGACTACCTCAGGTCTCCGCACTTTCCTTTCTCTCAAGAATCCACCTACCTTGGCAAACATCAGAGCAATTTTATGTTACGTCAGCACTGACATTAAACATGGTTAACCCTTATGAGGCTCCCTCTCGACACAGGGAGTAGCATGAAATCCTGATTTGATATCTTGATAGTTAAAACTGGCAGAAGAAACATCAGCCAATGGGTAAAGGGAGCAAGGCACTGCACAAACTGTTTCACATTCTTTGTGTGGTCTACCTTTTAAAAATTACTTAATTTTTAAATTGTTCTTTGATCTGTTATCAGTTTGCAGTTTCATCTTTTTTTATTGTGTTGTTTTTATCCAAGCCTTGCATTTATAGAGAGGAAAAGGACATAAAGAATAACTAGAATGTCAACAAAAAGGCTTTCAAACTCAGAAAAGAGTCCAAGATGTACTATTGAAGTAATACAGTTTGATACCACTTTAATTACTGTGGCTTAATGCTATGGGATCCTGAGAGTTGTATTTTGTTGAAGCACCAGTACTCTTTAGCGGAAGAGGCTAAAGACCTTGTAAAACAATAGCTCCCATGATTCCAAAACATTGGAGCCATGGTACTTAAAAGTAGAATCCAATCATATTAATTCTACAGCACACATGCACTCCAAGTTTAGGCTTAATTTCTAGGTCTTTGCCAAATAAGCAGAACCTGAAATAGTGACTTTGGTTTGGTAACTCCACTCAAGGAGATAGAGCAGGTTATAAATAAATTATTATTATTATTATTTGGAACTCAACAAGATGAGTCCACAGCAAACAAGATCATTCTGCTGGCTGTTGTATTGGATCATACATTGGACACTTCCCAAGTGTCTAGGACTGTGTGATGTATCAGTGAATAATGCATGCAGATCTCAGTAAGGTGGCCTTTTGCAGCTAGCAGATAGTAATCTTGTCAGTGCCGATTGTGTTTAAGTGCAGGCCAAGATCTTTAGGCACTGCACCCAATGTGCCGATCACCACTGGGCCACCTTGACTGGCTTGTGCCAGAGTCTTTGCAGTTCGATCTTTAAATTATGATATTGTTTCAGTTTTTCCAGTTGTTTCTCTTCAATCCTGCTGTCACCCGGGATTGCAAAATCAACGATCCATACTTTGTTTCTTAACATGATCGTGAGGTCAGGAGTATTGTGCTCCAAAACTCTGTCTATCTGAATTTGGAAGTCCCAGAGTAGCTTGACATGTTCATTCTCTGTAACTTTTTCCAGCTTGTGATCCCACCAGTTCTTTGTCGCAGGCAGATAGTATTTGTGGCACAAGTTCCAATGAATCATTTGAGCAACTGTGTTATGCCTCTGCTTGTAGTCTGCGCAATCTTCTCGCAGCAGCTGAGGATGTGATCTATTGTTTCATCTGTTTCCTTGCAGAGTCTACATTATTATTATTTGACTATAGTTCTCAGAAGCAAGTACCTAGCATGTAGCTAGGACTTGGGGCAATGGATTCAAATTACAGGAAAGGAGATTCCACTTGAACATTAGGAAGAACTTCCTGACTGTTAGAGCTATTCAGCAGCGGAACTCTACTTCAGAGTGTGATGGAAGCTCCTTCTTTGGAGGCTTTTAAACAGAGGCTGGATGGCCATCTGTCAGGGGTACTTTGATTGTGTGTGTTTTTCCTGCATGGCAGGAGGTTGGACTAGATGGCTCATGTCAGGCCCGTAGCCAGGATTTTGATGGGGGGGGGGGCTGAGTTTGATTCGGGGGGGCTGAGTCTGAGTGAAAGAGGGTCTACCCTAGCAAACCTTTTGTATTGTTACCCCAATACCCCCATGCATATGGGATATATTGAGTATGGTGATCAGTTCATGATATGAATAAACATAACAGTTTAAATGATGCACCAGTAAGGCCTTCTCGCGGACCACCATGAGAATTTGGGGGGGGGGTGAAGCCCCTCAAGCCCCCCCCCCCCGGCTACATGCTTGGCTCATGTGATCTCTTGCAACTCTATGATTCTAATATTCTGGGAGCTGTTGTCCAATGAAGGGAACTTTATGAAGTTCCCATTTCCAAGAATTGCATTTCAGCCATGGCCTGTTCAATGACTTCTTGCTGAGAATGCAAATCTGTGCCGCTTACTGTTTGTCAGAATCGATACTTTTCTTGATAATTGTCATTTGTTGTAAGAAATTACATAAGGTTTCTTACGCTTTAATCCAGAAAGAATTGTGCAAATAAAAAGAGGGACTGGGATGCCCCTTAAAGCACCCACAGACACATATTGATACACTGATAGAAATGCACTGAAATGTCAGGTAGCCCTGCCGACAGTGATGGCAATGAACTGGGTGGGCCACCGGGAGGGAGCCGATCTCGCTTGTGCAGGTGGCTCAGGTATCTGTTTTTCCGCACAGATAATTAATGTGTACAAGTCGCTGCTAATTGCACATTTCAGGAATGATTTATGACAGAGCGGAGAGGAAAGAGGAACACAATCTCATTTCTTTCAGAACCTCTGCCATTCGTACAATGGTATCAGCACAGCTGTGAGTTAGGACATGATTAATGAACAGGGAGGTAAACACCCCGGCATTTGGAAGAGGAGTGTTTCCGATGGCAGGGCTGTCAAAACCAAAAGTGGTATTTCTGATGACGGACCAATTACACAACAGGTTCCTTTCCACGTCAGAACCCATGGCGGTTCTACAGTAAAGCATTTGACATCCAACAGGGTGGTCCATAGCTTTCAATAAAGACTACGGCATTAACATTTATGATAAAGTCCTTGAAAGTACAAGCTGAGACTATACACCTTATTTTCTTTGCGGAGTCTATATGTGGAGGGGGGAGGGAGATATTTTTTTATTATTATTATTCATGCATTCACAGCTACTTCATATTTTTCCTCTGGACTGCTGTCTGGGTACAGTGAGAAAAAAAGAAAATATGTACTTTAATATAGTTAATGTTAGTTAACTTAAGAAGACTATTGCTTGTGATCAACTTTTTTTTCTTTTTGACGGGCTATAGGCATGTTAATCTGTGGCAGCAAGATATAGATATATAGATATTTGCAATCATCTGCTAAAATTGGGCAGGAGTCCAGAAGAGCTTAAGCCAAAAAGCTTGTTAGTATTTACGTGCCACGAGACTTCATTGTTTTTACAAAATGAAGAAATTTGGAGTTGTTTCTAAATTTGAGATTATTGTTTGGTTCCTGTATTTCGTCACAAGTTTTTGCCATTCTAAATAAATCTGAGGCTAGTATTTCTACCTAGCTGTATTTTGTGTGTAAATCAGCATTTTAACTTGCGATAGATAAATATTTTATTATTTAACAGTTCAGGAAAGATGATCAGTAGCACGTTTGTTAGGGGAAAAAAAACTATTATTTGGAAAGAAACATTCAACGTGGTAGCAATGAGAAATTTTCATGCCGTTTCAATGATGTGCCAACTTGGCTTTTAAAATGTTCCTCACTTTTTAATGAATGTGTTTGTAGTATTTTCACATTGTTCTTTCTTCCTATTTCTTTCTTTTTATTTACAAACTTTCTGTGAAAAAAAATACCCTAGTATATAATAATATAATAAAAACTTAAGCATGCAGACCATTAACAAAGTTTTGGAAAGCACCGCAGCATATGTTTTGCGACTTACAATGTGCCCAACAATTACTTTTTTGGACCCAAACACAAGCTGTATTTATTTTAATGTTTTTGTGTTTGTGTTTTCTCTCCTCTTTCAGCTTTTGGAATTTGACAAGGAGCTGTCAGTCTTTAAAGACAAATTATATGAACTGGACATTTCATTTCCTCCCAGGTAAGATATGTATACAAGTGGCTTATTTAATTAACATCTAGACTCTAAACACACTTGAAAATCTAGTAAATGAGAGTTAGAATGTCATTCATTGCAATACAACTTGCAGGAGGAATGAGAAAAGAAAAACCCTCCAGTCTCAGGATTTCATTTTTTTTTCTTGGATTGCTGCTAGAATGTAATTATGCTGCTATAATATATTCTACATCTACTATAGTCTCTAACTGAAAATAAATCCCACTAAGCTCAATGGGACTTACTTTTGAATACAGTTACACTATATATGTCCTAACTTTTTTTCCTTCTAGAATATTTACTAAATATCAAATTATGGCATATTGGATTATGGTATATTGTCTCTTTGTTGTTTTGTATTATTTATTTATTTATCTCTCATAATTGTACCCCACCCTTCTCAAACCCGAGGGCAACTCAGAGCGGCCTCTCACATCGGCAAGAATTCAATGCCATAAAAACAACATACAGTTAAATAAACATTTAGGTTACAAATCAAAGAATTAAAAAATCTAAACATTACACCAATTATTCAAACCATACAGTCCAAGATCATAATCCGGAGCCGTTCCAGTTGTCATTGCACAGATTCTGCATTCATTTATTGCACTGCAGTTAATATCCGAAGGCTTGATGTATAGATTCAATTTTGTTCAGCTATTTTGTATAACGTAGGGAAGTGTCTCTCTGAAATAAACCTCATATTTTATTAAAATTTCTTAGAAAACATTGTATACCAGTGCAAAATAAGTTGGGTGGGTGGGTAGCCGACTGAGTAGATGGATGGGCACATGGGTGAGTGCATGGGTGGATGGGTGAATTTTTTATTTATTTTTTTGGAAAGAGGTAAAGCTCATTTAGACTTTACTGCTTTTATATTTTCTCAAGTTGTTTTCAACATCAGTTTAATAAAAAAATTATTGTTTCAGTACAAAAAAAGGCAACCTTTTTTCCTCATGTAATAGTCACACCCCTTTTTATGAAAAATAGTTGCATCCCCTTTTGGGGGGAAATGCGACCATTATGCAGTGAAATGTGGTATCTTCTTTTACTACTCAGTTACATTCCCAAATTATTATGTAGCTTATATCTTGAGGATGTAATGTAGTATACAAAATATTTATGCTCTGAACTTGCTCTGAACTTTGGTACTAGAAACTGACCTAACAATTTTTCACCTTTTTGCCATTGTGTATTAAGTACTAGATTTATCTGAGTTTTTTGCATCCCGTGAGCTACTGTTTGAAGTTCTTGTCATTGAGCAATTGGCTCTGTATATTTAGAGCTATAATTTTTCTGAAAGGCCAGGAAATCAATGGATGTTTAAACTATTGTGTCTTCACTTGTTTCGTATGCTGAATTAAGAGGCTGCTAACATCACAGCATGATTTTGTATTTGTTTAAAGAAAATGGATAAAGGAAGCATCATTCCATTCTGCAGTTTTACGTGGAGTTTTGTTGAGAAGTTTCCCATTTTCCTCTCTTAGATGTTTATGATTTAACTGCAACCATTGATCCTAGCAATAGTAGACCCATTTATTTATTTTGTGTCAAAAGCATTGCATATATAAATTAGTATAATAAATAAATTTGCATAATAAATTGCATAAATAAATGAGTATAATTAGTAGAGCAACCATTGGGGTTTTGGGGGGGGGTTGTCGTGTCAGAAGCGACTTGAGAAACTGCAAGTCGCTTCTGGTGTAAGAGAATTGGCCATCTGCAAGGACGTTGCCCAGGGGATGCCTGGATGATTTGATGTTTTTATCATCCTTATCATTGGGTAACTGTTGTTGATTCAACAGATCTATAGTTGAAAAAGGGCCTAAATACTCTGATCTTGGAAAATAAATAGAGTCAGTATTTGGATTGAGACCATCAAAGAATACCAGGTGCTGTAGAAAGGAATGACAAAACCACCTTTGGGTATTTCTTGCCTAAGAAAATGTTAGGAAATTCATGGGGTCCCCATAAGTCGACAGGCAACTTAAAGGATAAATAAACACACACTCCTGTTGAAACTACCAGTGATATTTAGGGCAGTGGTTGCTTAACGGATAAGATTTGCTCCACTACCTGAGAACCCAAAAGGAAACACTAGAAGATTCTCAGTCTCGTTTAGAAGAGGTACTGCTTGAATGTCCTTGGGTAGCTTGAAAAGCACTCTGAAGAAAAGTTGCATTTTCTTGCCTGGTGTGTAGGTTTAAGGAATGTGATACAAGCTGTAAATTCATATCACTTACCCTCAAGAAGTCATCTGTCAGGTCAGGCATGACAACTTTGAACACTGCACACCCTTGTGATGAATTTGGCTTTCCCCTGTTAGTGGTGGTCCTGGAGCCCAGGAGGCATGACACGGCTGTGATGAAGTGCCAGTGCTTTGACAAGAAGACTCAAGATGACTTGTTTAGGTATCGTAGGCAGTAAAGAGGCTGGGACTTGGGTTTCAAGAGAGAAAGAGGCGGTGGCGTTGTGCCTAAACCGTTGGCCAGGGGTGCTGAGAAAGAAAAAAGTCTTGCATTTGCAGGAATGTTTTCTGAAATGTCATGTGGAAATTTGAGATTGTGTTTTGCTCTTGAAAGAGTTGGGGACTGAAAAATGGAATTAAACTACAGTACATTAAATAGAAGCATCTTTCTCTCTCCTTGAACTTTCGGACCTCATACATCCCACTGAGGGCCCTTCCACTCAGCTATATAACCCAGAATATCAAGGCAGAAAATCCATAATATCTGCTTTGAACTGGGTTATCTGAGTCCACACTGCCATATATTTCCAGTGGGATTTTATTCAGCTGTGTGTAAGGGGCCTTGGAGGTATGCATAGCTCGAAACCAGCACTCTCCATCCCCATGGTTGGTTGTGATTCAAAAAATCCTCTCTCGAAATAAAGGGATTAAGACAAGATTTTTTAAAAAGAAAAAAAATGATCAGCAATGGACGAGTGTGTTTTCAAATATATAATGAAAAGCCTTTGCATCTAACTGATAAAACGTACTACAGTAGAGTCTCGCTTATCCAACATAAACAGGCTAATGGAATGTTGGATTTATTTATTTTTGTCGTGTCAGGAGCGACTTGAGAAACTGCAAGTTGCTTCTGGTGTGAGAGAATTGGCCGTCTGCAAGGACGTTGCCCAGGGGACGCCTGGATGTTTTGATGTTTTGCCATCCTTGTGGGAGGCTTCTCTCATGTCCCCGCATGGAGAGCTGGAGCTGATAGAGGGTGCTCATCCGCCTCTCCCCGGATTTGAACCTGCGACCTGTCAGTCTTCAGTCCTGCCGGCACAGGGGTTTAACCGATTGCGCCACCGGGGGCTTCGGAATGTTGGATAATAATTAAGGAAAAGCCTATTAAATGTCAAGTTGTGCCCGCTGAGAGGGGCAAGTTGCACTGTGCCCGACGGGAAAAGTCTGAGCCGGTCACGTCTTGTCCCTCCCAGCACACGCCCAGCATGCAGAGAGGCCCACTGCGTGTTGCTACTTAGAGAAACAGCTGTGGATCCAGGCAGGAGGCAGATTGTGGATAATACATAATGTTGGAGGGGAGGTTGTTGGATAAGCAAGACTCTACTGTATAAGTAATTACAGCACAGTACAGAAAAAAAATTGTCACTCACTGCGCTTTTAAGAATGAGAGTTAAGCGCTGAAAAATAATAGTACTTTTAAATGTTGACAACCATATTAAGATTAGTATATTTTTTGCAAATATTAAAATACTCTCAACAATACATGGCTAAAATGGTCTTTAGGGCCGCAATGTGATTTTTTAAATGTTTTAAAATGTTAAAGGAACCAATTATTTTCCTAAAATTTTCTGTAACTCTCAGAAGGCCCAGTCTTACTTACCTATTTATTTATTTATTTATTTGAACTTTTGTATCCCGTTCTTCTCTACCTCTGTGGAGGGACTCAGAACGGCTAACAGCAAAAATTCAATGTACAATAAATAACATCATAAAAACAACATACACAATAAATAAGTTCTAAAATACATATAAAACAATTCATCAAGCTAAAACATCATCCAACTCAATCCATATGTTGTCCATTAACTCTTAGTCTAGACAGGATCATCCATCAATCTGCGAATGCCTGATTCCAAAGCCATGATTTTAGATGCTTCCTGAAAGACAGGAGGGTTCCATAGCCAGGGGGCACCACAGAGAAGGCCCTGTCTCTCATCCCCACCAAACGCAACCGCGAAGGTGATGGGACCAAGAGCAGGGCCTCTTGGTTTATAGGCTTAGTCTTTATATGAAATCCTTATATAGTAAAAGTGTACCTAAAATTGGAGTGCTTTTTGTATATTTTACTGAAATGAAAGAAGATTTTTTTTCTCTTTAAAATCCTCATCATGCATATAATAATAAATGTTTTACTCATGAGCAGGAACCTTAATTGCAAAAAAAAAAATCATCTCCCTCCGTTTCTTTCTTAATATGCTATGATTATATATCCCAACAAGAGTATGTATAGTCATAGCATATGTTGTAGGTTTGTTTGTCACCCATCAGATTCCTAACATTGTAATTATTATCATCTGGCAGACAGTACAGGATGGCAAAGACAAGGACAAACAGACTGAAGGATAGCTTTTTTATCGTAGCACTGTGGGTATGTTGAACTCTGGTTTTGCATTGATGTGACATTGATGTGGTGGGGATGGATGTATTGTTTTGTGGTATGTTCAGAGGAAGGCATGTAATTTTGTTGTGCACTAGCATAGTGGTAAATAAAACTATTCTATTATTTCTAAATAATTACACTATGTAATAAAATTTGGGGAAAAAATCTATTCCTGGTTTGAAAGTGTTATTTCCTGTTTAATTGTTACTCTCCAGAAACTTCGTTTTTGTGGCTGCCATTTTTAGCTGCTTATTTGCCATTTTGTGCAGATCGGAAAAACAAAGTTGTTGCAGTTTAATAAACTTTTTCCATGTTTTATAACAGAACCAATTAGGACATGACATTTATAACACAGGA